AACACAGATAATAGACATGGCTAAGTTTTCTGTCAGAGGAAAGATACTGCTGCTTAAATCCAAAGAGACACAGGAAGGCATGAAGCACTTCAGCTGCTGGGGCAGGATGGCACTAAGGGTCACCACACATCACATTCGACACACCTGGGCACACTCACTGTTCCAGGAAAATTCAGCTGCATCAGAGGGAAAGATACCAGCAGACTGCTGCAGCCTCTTCTCTTCAGCACCTCACTGTATTTTCATAAAATGCCCAGGAAAGGGTATCGTAAAAGCAACCTTCTGCCTTTCAAGAGAAAGCTGCACACAACGAACAAGAAGGCAAACATGGGTAACTACAATGTAACTGAAATTACACCAAATTGTAATATGTTCAGACAAAAAAGATCTAGCTTGTGGGATACACAGGCTGGACGGCCAGTGAAAGTGTGCCAAAAACACGCCTTGCAGGGACCTGTACCAGGAACAGGGGGCTGCTAAGAGTGAAGATAACAGAGAGAACTGAAGAGGCAGCCTGAGGGACAGCAGGCTTCTCCAGCAACGCAGGAAGACAAAAGTATCAAGGTATACAGCTTACGCACATGGGATTTGCAGCTTTTCACTGCTTCACAGCATGAAGAGACAGAAACACATTTTAACATTTGCAGCAAACAAGTATTTGTAGGAGAATAGGGAATGGCAAAATCCATACTTCAGGCCTATAGTCTGACTATTGGCTGGGATTAATGAGGCACAGATAAGGACTAGGTCACAGAAGCGAAGGGTAATATACATGTGACCCTTTGCCACAAGGATCAGGGTTCAGCAGAAATTAAATAGGAGAATTTGCTTTGATATCAATGCCAGTATTAAGCTCATTTGATTTTCTTTATTCTCTGTGCTCCCACATAAATGTTTTCTATACCTAAGGCTGCTCAAATGCATTTCCTCAGAACATCAGAGCTACTGACCACAAAGTCAGAGCAACTACTCAAAACACAATGCTACCTTAATAACCATCTAGCACTTAAACACCGCCACCTGGAAAATGCATCATAACACAAATATTAGAGGAATGGCCATCCACACTAAACATGCATACCAGGAAAGTCAAGCACTGCATGTTGCTTCTTTAGTACTGCATTTAATACATTTCAGACAAAACATCTCCGTTCCTTTAAAAAAACAAATCGTTCACAGTTTTTTAATGTAGCTACGGGTAAAGTTCTTAGATAACCACCATATTGTATTTTACTGCTACCTATGAAGAAAAACAGAAATACCTATATTTGTTCCTTTCTGTTTGTAAACCACTTAAGAAAAGCCACAGCAACTACAGTACGCACTAGCTGAAGCCACATAAATCTTATTTATCAGATACCCATCCCCGTTATACATATGTGCACACACACACACACTTTCTGTAACAGAGTAGCTCAAACGCACAGGCACCTTTTCAGAATGAGTTTCAGCTCCTGGCTGAATGAACACAGTGCGATGATATGACTGAACCAAAACAGAGGGACAAATACAGTGCTAGTAAAATTCAAAAATACTGCTGCAAGAATAAGCTGCTGCTGCTGCTAAGTCAATACTGTATCCTACAAACATCACTTACATTTACAGTTATGGTGCTATTTATTTCCTTTGCTGAGGAACTAGACGTGACCAGAAAGAGCCTTGCTGGGGAAGTGCACACACAAGCCCTGCTGCTGCTCTACAGCCCTGGTCACTGCTGCAATTACAAACATCGCTGCCTCTGCAGTCCCCCGCGCTCTGGACCCACGGGATCTGCCACATGATCAGTCCTTGGCTGCAGAACTACGCAGCCACTTCAGGCTACTGTGGGGTCGGTTTGCTTTTCTAATCAGCAGTTTGTGTCATTTACAAAGAGAAGATGGAAACCCACATACTAAAGCTGAACATGCGTGCGGTTTTCCCAAGTCTGCAGAGAGACTAAATAACAGCACCATGAAATGCAGACAGCCCCACTTCCCCTGAACACAGAATTCACAGCCACCAGAAGTGCTGATTTTAACTATTTCATCAATGAGCATACTGCTAAGAATAGTTTGCTGTGGTACAAATCCCCAGTTCCAGCTATTATGCCACCTCCACCATCCCAGCAACCTTGCAGCAGAGTTTTCACCTCCTTACAGCTTCTGCGAGCTGTGGAGTAAAACTGATGTAACAACAACACAATCAAACACTGATTTTATACCCAGTAGTATAAGGAATGCTGCAATAACAGCATGACTTTGCATCTTAAAATATGAGAATCTAAATGCTCATACATCAACTTGTTGGCCACATAACTAGCCACAGTCAGGGTGCCCCGCAAGGGAGGTCCACTGTATATGCACCCTCCTCACGTTCTTCCTTAAAACACCCACTGCTGTCCGCTGCCAAAGGTGGGATAGAGAGCTAGAAAGCTCTCTGACCTGACTCAGGGTGGTTGTTCTGGACAACAACCTTATCTCTGGGCATTACCTTCTTCTGCCTGGACCTCTCATTCCTGCATGCTCAGATTCACACTTCAGCAGTGTATTTGTTACCCTGTAGAAAAAGTAAATGGAGCATATTGGCAGACCCAGACATCTTGCCTGCAAACCACTGTCTGAAGGCTCACAAGGTGAAGAAGTCAAAGGGGGTCCATTGAAAGTCAGTAAGAAAGGCAGACAATGCAATCCAGGACAGCAGAAAAGAAAAAAACAACAGAAGTACAGAAGAGAGCCATTGCTCTGCTTTGCACTTTTACTCAGTTACAAACACACACCATTTTGGCAACACTGCACAGGATGATCTACAGGACTCAAAAAAAAAAAAAATTGAGATGTGGAAAAGGGAAAGTGAGTTCCAAACAAACAAGACTTTTCTACAGTGTCAAGAGTTTAATAAACACAGCTGTATGGAATACAGCACCTGATCCAAAAAGAAGAAAAAAAAAAGAAAACGCCCAAAACACCAGGACTTCAAGGACTTCTGAAATAGGCTTCAAAGGCTCAACACGGAGGAAAGTGAGGAAAATTTGCCTGCTGACCATTTATAAAATGCGCAAATGGAGAAATAAATACAAGAAAACTTTCCACAGATGAGATGTGTTTTCCCTGCTTTTAGCTTGGCCTTTACAATACTGCGTATCTAACAGCTGTGCTATGTCTGGTTTCCACAAAGTACCTGCCTGTCAGACCAAGCCAACAGCCTGCGCTGTGTGCTCTTAGGGCTTGCTCAATGCTCATCACTGAAGGAGCATTTCCACTTCAGTAAAAAGTACTTGAATGCCATTCATAATGTTGAAGAAGCTAATAAGCCATCATTTGGTTACCACTGGTCTTAGAAGTTATCCACTCGGACAAATGGAGTAAATCTGCTGAATTTTTAAATGTTATAAAAGCAGAGCTCTGACAGACTGATCTATTGCACAGTCATTGAAATGGAGAGATCAACCCAGCGCCATTTTCAATTACCAAAAGCTTGTCATAACAGGAACAGAGCGCTGACAACATCCCAAAGGTTTACCTCCAGGGCACAAAATTAAATAGCTATTACCCAATAAAAGAAATAACATTAAAGCCTCTGTCTTCGAACATGACAAAAATCCATGTAATGAACAGGAAAAAGTTATCTTCAAATGTTAATTTTGTTTATGAGAACAGAAAAATTCTCAGAAAATTTACCAGAGAAACAGCCACGTTGGCTCGTTTTCTAGAAATCCACTGATAAGCGCTTTTTTTTTTTTAACAGGCTGCTGTATTCCTGAAGCACAGCAATTTGGCTTCAGCTACCCAAACCACACAGCTATTTTGACCATTAAATATTCTTCACACTTACAAAACGCGGTCAGAGAAACGCACTATACTGGTGTAGATGAAACTAAAAGGCTCTTGTCCTTCCCAGCCCTCTGCAACTGTGAGTCCGTCTTCATTGTGTATTACATCCGCCTGAAATCTTGCACGAAGAAGGTTCCAGCTTGTAAGCAGCTTCTATTGTTACAGATTTTCTTTTTTATATGAAGGAACACAAACATTTTCCCAGCATAAATCTGTACAAAATGTTTTAAATGTTAGCACAGCTAGCAAAAAGCCACAGCTAAACTCTTTTTTAATGGAGCCACGCATATAAGCTTCTCCTACCGACACCTAAATCCAATTCATTTATAGGAAAGAGATCACTTTGACAGGCACCGGCTTTTTCCAAAAAGAAAAGACATCCTACCTGCAGGCCCCTGCTCCTCCACATACACTCTCTGAAGGAGAGGATTTTGTGCTAGCCATGTTTTTCGGGCAAACGCCTGCCTGTACCAAAGGGGGCTGGATGAAGCAACGCTCAGGTATAAAAATAAAAAAAAAAAAAATCCTGCCAGCCTTTGCTGGCCAGATCCGGGTCTGCAGGACCCGCTACCATCCGTTCTCTAATTAGTTATTTGTACCGAGAACTCGGAAGCATCCGAAGGGACGGCACCTGCTCACCCGGCACACAAAACCCAGGGAAGCGCAACCCGGGTGGGAAACATCCCGAATTCCCACGTACCTCCCTGCCCCGCCCCGGGAAAGGCCCTTTCCCTCTCCTTGCAAAACACAGCCCCGCCAACGGGCTGAGGAGGTGCCCGAGGCCCCGCTCCCGGTGAGGAGAGGGGCGGGAAGACGCTGCTGCGGCCGCAGGCCCCGCGGGTGGCGGAGAGGCCGAGACCGGGGGAGGGGGGATCTCTTCAGCGCGGGGCGGTGGGCTCGGCCTGGGGGGGGGAGATAACAAAGCCCGGCGTCGGGACGCCCCGCCGGCGGCCCTCACCTGCCCAGCGGTCGCTTCATGCCCGCGTCGACGACGTCGGCGGCGGCGGGCAGGCGCAGGCTGTGCCTCAGGCTGCAGCCCTTGTCAAGGGGCGCGGGAGCGGCGGCGGCGCGCTCATGCTCCACCGTGACCGACTCGTTGCGTTTCCTCATGCCGGGGGGGCGGAGACGGCAACAAC